TCTTCACTGACATACTCATATTCCGTGAGATTTGCCGCCTTTGACCACATTCTAAGGATTGCTCGCTCACCAGAACCACTCGCTTTCCTCCAACAACCTTCTCAGTACACTGCAGGTCCAAGCGAGACGTCTTTTACCACGTTCTAGTCACAGATCTTCGTAGAGGCCAAGCCATTTCCAAGATAAATTTGCTCACCCACAAAGTGCATTATCAGCGGCGGAATAAGACATGCTACTAAAACATTTCGATATAACGCCCAACATGAATGCGAGCACAACACTATTGTAAATGAGGTTTACGAAGCCCGGATGGGATAGAACTGCAGCTGACCTGCGAGTGAATCAAATCTATGAATGTGACTGTGTGGCAATTGTTAGTTCTTACAAAATAGTCTCAAACTGTCATCTTTCCTCGGAAGTTTCGATAGATTTTAAAAGAACGGAACATATATATGACCTAGGTTGTAAACAAATTCAAACGAAAACACTATATGGGATCCTCATAATCAACAGTCCACTTGTATTCCAGACTCGACTGAATCCGGTGAGTCAGATGAGAATTTGTAAAATTATCTTGTAAAATTGTCTTCAGACGGTTGATAGTTTTAAGCCTGCTTGGCCTCTCCCACCGCCTAGGGCAGCAGCCTCTCTGGCGTAACCGTGGTCCCCAATTCGGAACTTCAATAGTTTCTAGATATGTATGTTTTGTGTCCCGCAACTGGTGCCTTTCACGCTAGTGCGGAGTAGTTCAGGTACGCTTGATGTTCGCTAATGCAACTCCGGGTGTTCGGTTTCCATCTGCCCGTGGTAGCAGAATCTGCACGCCAGTACACCCATAGAAACTAACGCAAAACCATGCGCTCACGATCTGGTTACGGGGTTTGCATTCAGTTTGCATACAGTTCCTCATAGGACGAGAAAGTTTGCAACAGACGACATATTCGCGAGGCGAAATCCCGTGCATTTTGCGGCAATTGCGTGCATCAAATTCTGGGTGACTTTAAAACGTCCAATGTGAGCACTCATTGACTGTGTTCTGCTTCGGTTGTAACGACCATATATATTTCAGCGCCAACCCCGAGCAGTGAGTTTCACGGTGGCGAGTGTGGTTGACTTCAAGCTTATTTCTCATTTATTCTTCTTCTTTTTCGTATTCTGAGGAACCGAGGGTAAAGCAATAATCCAGAATATTGTGTAACGTCTAAATAAGTTGGAGCTGAACTGCCTGTTTAGCTTTCCAGCATTCAGTTTGGCATTATTTGGGGAGATAGGAGAACGCAACGCGGTCATTCTCCAGACGATATTTCAAGCATCGTTGACGAATACGCGTAGCTCAGTCATCCGTTTGCTTTCGATTTTTATAATGCCCTGGTTTCGTCCCTTATGTCCTTTTTCCCTTTTTCAACTTTATTAATGAGACTGTTATACCCATCCGTTTTGTTTAGGAAATTTTTTGAAGCCTTCTTCTTTTATCGCAATTTTCGACAAATTTTCAAAAAGGCACACAAATTTCGGTTTCTTCTAATCAAATTCAAACTAAAACCTTTTATTGGATTCTAATCATCAATTTTTTGCATACTCGACTGAGCCTGATTCTGTTTTATTTCCATTTGTGTAATGATATCCATCCAACCTACCGAATTTATTTATTAACCAATTGTTTAATTCTGCCCGTCATTTCAAACTCATATCTGCGCCGAAATTTGATTATTGCTAGAAGAAAGCATGGTCTGCCTAGCGAACTCCTGGTCTTCCCTTCTATTGTTTTTCATCTTGTTACATTTTTTGAACTTCTAAATGATGCTGAATTATTTCTTGCAACTTTCTTCGTAACACTAAATCGCCAATGGCTCTCATCATGCAGAACGTGACATATTTGTTTTGTTTTCCTATCTTAAGTATGTTCGGATTTCTTGCATAATGACCGTCTAAATTTTGCGACCGTCCACGAGTCTCATTGTTTTGCACGATGCCGCTTTTTGTCAAAATATCGAGCTCAAACTTCTTGTTAGGTGCTGGGCTGTACTGTTGTTAAGTTTATCACTCAGTTTCTTACTCTTTCTTAGATGTTTCTGTTCTCTATAATGGCCTATGTTGAATCGCTTGCATGGCAACCCAACTCTACAATGCTGAATTTAGTATCTGCGCCACTACACTCATTCGGCCATATACTTCGTTTTTGTTCAAACCTACTGAGTTTCCAATTTCTTCTCTTCAGTGGGGAAAGTGGTCGGTGAGTTGAACTTTGAATTTAATTCAAGAACGCGTTTGGCAAATATGGGTAAGCGGGACCCCGAATATATGTGAAGATGCACATATATACTCAGTGTTCCTTGAGAGGAACCGCTCAGCTAGTTGGCATACGCACATAGTTTGTGCAATTTGTGTGGTTTATATAGATCACTAGCCAGTTTAGTGCTCGATCACTGAGCTCAATCATCTGAAAGCTCCGTAAGAGTTTCACACTTTCAGGATGAACTAGCTTCAATCGAAGCCATCTTCCTAAAGCCTCGAGTATTTTCAACTTTCCAGCTGATTTCTCCTTTATGTACTCCCCATCAAGGTGATGCTGGGACGTCAACTGCGAGTAAGTAGTGCAATTCATTCCACCAGGGAATTTTTATTGAACCGCAAGCGTCCAGCTAGCAGCCTGTTTAAAATATGCATTCTGTTGTAGACAAACTCCGACAGATAGAACGAATATTATAAAGGCAATTCCACTGTATTTTGCACCCCAAAGTTCTTAAGCAGAATGAAATTTCGAACAGGCTGAGAGCTGCAGCAACAATACCATGGGTAGATTAACACGGTGAAATTGCTGATTGGGTTTTGCAGACATTTGGCTTGACATGCTGCTGAGTAACATTTAGTTGGTTACTGAAGCTTTTTCTGGGGTAATAGTGCTGGCAACACTATTGACAGGTTCACTTCCCAGTCACCTCCTTTGGCCGCCAGCCTCTCCTTGATCGTTCGGTTATTGGTTGGGTTAGACCACTTGTTTACATGTTGTACGGTGCCATTCTTAACCGCCTGATGCCCATCCTCTGCAAGCAACTCCTAAACTCTTCGCTGTCAAAGCAAGGCTCCTGATCAATTAGAATTATTTTTATCATCCTTTGGTTGGTCATGGTGTGACGCGCTACCACCCCGCTAATCGTCGTCACCCGTTGACTTGGAACGGATCTCACCTTGCCCACCGCTACAGGTGTTCAGTCACTTTAATAGTATATTGATTTCCGATGTCTGTCACCAGAGGGAACCTATGACCTCAACGGACCATTGCTTGCCGGTTTCTGGTACAAAGATGGCTTCCATAGGATGTGTTGCATAGTCTTATCCACTTCCATTAGTTGGCACCGCTTACGCCAATAGCGATCATTCGATAAACATAAAAGATCCATTGAATGCTAGCTGTCAGCTGTGTAAGACGTGTATTTTTGGATAACGGAAACCATCCAGTACTATAACGCTATTAAAAACTCGGAAATTCAGAAGCATATGGTATTCCTGGAGAGCGTTGTCATTTCCCCAAGGTGATACAAAAATCAGGTTACGTTATCATTCGTAGGCACATACAAACTACAACATGCAGCTAATGAAATTAAACATCTCACATTATTGTCTTTTCCTATAAACAGTGTCGTTTCGGTACAGGGGGTATACTTTCAACTTCAGCCAGAAGCTGCTGCGCTGCTTTGCCATTACCAGGTTGATACCAACTCCAGTATAAGTAGAGAGGTAGAGGTACAGACGTCAGGAAACTGCCGGAGAATAGCTAAGACGGTCAGGTGAATTGGGTCAGATATTACTATCAAAAGTGATGAACTAGCCGCCCTCAAATCCCCTAATGTGTATTTATATTTATGCGCGGCCGTGAAAACCACAAACTGTACAAATATTCTCGACATAAGACAATTTTCGGATCGAGAAAGAATATCGGCAGGCATGAGTACACGAACTGGCAAAAATACATAAAGAAATTCTAGAAGGTCGGATTTTGGATGGTAGAGAATTTCCTATATTCAAAATTGCCCTCAATTCGTGTGTTTTCTTTAATCTCTCAAACAACTGCCTAATGAATATGACGAAATTTTCGTCTGGCTTGGTAACACCCTGCATAACTGTTTCCACATTACTGATATTCTAAACAAAGTTGTATCATGACTCTGTTTTTTTATAGACTTAAGCCCAAATATTTTCAGCCTATATTTATTCGCAACTCCCGTGAAACGTTGCTAATAGACACATGCCGATGATAATCTCATTATCGTGGGTGCAACATTTTGTAGAACGATTCTCGTCCCAAGTGTATTTCTACCCTATTCAAGCATCCTTCTGCTACAGTCATGTTTCTTGGAGTAACAGCTTGTAAATTTGGTCTAATGCAAGTTAACTCAGGCTGTCTGTTAGAACAGACGCCAAATAGGTCCACTGAGCCCAGCGAACGTTCATCCATCTATTATTCAAAAAGCTCAAAGACGGTGCTACCAAGTTGCCCCGGCAGATAATCGGTATAATTCACAGCCCATTAATCTCATTCTGTGCCTAACAAATCTAACTACATTGGTGGCAAAGGATCTAAGGGCGAACACGGAACGAATTTCGTAATTGCAAGTTCCGTCGTGTTCTGTCCGACCAAGTACTTCACCTATTTTTTCAGTCAAACAACAGACCACGCGGAGACCCAGTCTTCACAAGGTATTCAAACAAACCAAGAACTCGAACACTTTTGTTTGGAAGATGTAATGCACTAAATGCGACATCAGCCTTATCAGTCATCACAGTGCTGAATAGTCGCTCCTGACAATCGTTTAGTCGGCCGTTAACAGCCAAAGGTCTCAAGAGTGAAAATTTCTCAGTTTGACGATATGCTGACTGCTGACGATTGTCAAAAAAAATTATTCAGCATATACTAGTTAAACAGCACTCTTGTAGTGCCCCAAAGAACTGCAGTGGGTTAAGCGAGCTAGAGTTAGACTGTGGGTGCGCTTCAAGCAGCGGTCGCCGGTCGTCGGATCACCTTTCCCCGTACATAACTCTCATAACAAAATCTCAATATGCACGAACAACGATTTCACACCAAATGCGTAGCCACCCAAACAACATCTTCTCTGTCCACAGGCAGCCTCTATTTTCTGGATCTCACTTCCAGTCTGTCTAACCACACGGCGGTTGTTCAAGTCTATAACCTAAAAATTCAACCCCACTTCCAGTGGTAGAGGCCAATATTTACCACCGAATACGCGAACAACACCCAACACATGTGGTTTGTCTCTCAGAGATTGCAGCTATCTTGAAATCTGCCTAGATAGTAGTTTCAGTAGTTTCACTAATTTTTTAGACCCATTCAGCTTTCCTCTGATGTGTTATCAAACGGTGAACTCGATAAAATCGACGTTCGGTTTCCAATATAGCTTGTAATGGAGCGGCAAAAACCGTTCGTCAACTAAACAGGTCGTTAGATGAGCCAGTTCACCATAAACGCAACGGACTAAATATTTTGGTGTGTGTGCCGGTGGATACTACTTTGAATCACCGAGGCCTCCGCGCGCTGAAGTCGGAATGGTCGAGCATCCTTTGCAGTTGGTGCAGGTGCAGATCTTTCGTCATGGTGCTCGAACGCCTTTACACCACGTTCGATCCCCCAATGTTGATGATGCTTTTTGGACCCCAGATTTAATAGATGACCTACCACACATGTGTTTTCCTTTTACAATCATGGATACGTGCTCCGAAGAGTTGATCGATGTGTCACAGGTTTCATGTTTGCCTATCCCATTCAGGTTCACCGGGTGGCCTGTATAAGGGTGAGCTTATCAAGCGTGGTCAAGATGAAACGTTTGCCTTGGGAAGGCGTTGGAAATGCTCATCTTTCATATCCAGTTCACTCAACCAGGAAGAAGTCTATTGCAGATCAACCATGATAAGACGAACGATAAAGTCACTTCGCTGCCTGCTTGCTGGACTGTTTGGAGAGAACTTAAGAGAGAATCCAAGGGTTGAGCTTGCTGTTATGAATGTGGAGCCGCTTGATAGGGAATACCTTTTTCCGAATCCGATTATTTGTAAATCAGTGGACCGTTTTGCTAAGGACGACATGTCAGAATGTCTTAATTCTGAGAGCCATCAACGGGTTGAAGCAAAAGTCGAAAAGTGTCTTCGGAGTGAAAAAGCTTTACGACGATTTTCGCCCCAGATAGTTGAGGTTTCAGTAGAATTTCTGACATACTGTTACGGCGTTGTCGGGTCAACTCATCTCTGGACCATCCACCTGCTTCTCTTAAGGATAACGGAAATTTCAATGTAATCAAACTCCTTTCATTTGTAAAATCACACAAGTTGCTTTTCAGTGGCACTTAAAGTCCCGACTGCTGATAACAGAGACCGTCAATCCGTTTGGTGTAAGAATTTGTGCACGATGGCTGTCGCGTGCAGCACCCAACAAATAACTGAAAAATCGTAGGATCTCAACATCTGTTCTATCGCTCACCGATACACTTATGTTTATTAGCACAACGAAAAACTGATTAGCTTAGTGGAATGTCAATGAGCTTGATACTTTCCCCCAAAAGTTGACTTTTTCAATGTTTATTCTATTTGATTTTGTTTGTCTGGATTCCAACACAGGGATTTTCTAATCTTTGCCTGTTCCATAGTAGTTCATCGTACTAGAACAGACATCTCCTAATTTCTATTCCATCCATTGCAGATATTCGGGTTGAAGGGATACTGTACAAAAATGGAGCGCCGCTAACCTGGATGTCAACTTATGGTGATACAACATCATCAGACTTCTCTGACGTGCAAAACGCAGTCTGTGGCTCAGTATGTCAAATGCAACGATACACTGCCATTATATCTTAATTGTGACAGGCAGTGTCTGTTCAAGAAGAGTATTGATCCAACCTTATAGAAAAATGAAACAAGCTCTTCCACGGAAAGTGACCTAAGCAAACTTAGTTGAGGGGTGATAAAATAATGTACTCATAAGATAATACTGACACTTTTTTCAGACACTTTGTTCGAGGGACATTTAAAGATGCGGACAGGTAGACCTAAAAATTGAAAACAGTTGGAGGGTTAGGTATGCCAACTCAAATTTAAAAGAGGCGATTTCACTGAATACATGGATCATTAGTAGTGTGGAATACGCTATACCAATAGAAATGCTGTGGCCAAATTGTGACATGTGCATCACTGCGAGGTAGTAGGATTCTGTGTAGAATGGAGTAAGAAGGGCAACAAAACAGTTCATGTGAACATGTCATGTTTGTTGAGAAATTTTTTAGATGACATTCTGGAACGCACTGCTTTGGGCAGGCAGTGTAATGTAAGACGGACATAAGAAGACTTTCCAAGTTAGTCATGGGTTTCTGGAGGCCACAATCGATCGAACCAAGTTTACTGCAGAAATAAATGAGATATAACTAAAAGGACGCTGTTCTACAGGTAAACAACACCATCCAATCGCTACACCCAATATACAGGCTAGTATTTAACCGTATGAAGTTTACGATGTCCAATAACAAATTCCCAAGCGACAGTGAGACACATTATTTGCGGTAGACTATTTCGGAGTCACCAGATGAACAGGCTCTTCTTTTAATACGTTATTTTGTCTGTTATGTTATACAATATATGTATATTATATGTTCTATATTTTATCTGATGTGCATCCTCAATAGCTTAGTGGTGTTTGGCAGACATAGCATTTATGATGTCTGACCTTTGATAGGTATGAAAATACGACAATCCAACTCAGAACCTACCAACTTGCTAGGAGCAATCCGCAATGAATTCGTTCAGGTCGTCCTGCAGTGCTTACACTCATAGTCATGCTTGAATTTTTCCGACCTGCTTTACTGCAATCTCTGTGATAATAACCGGGCTTTCACCAGTTGCGTGGAGGTTGAAATGCGGAAGTGTTTCCCCCACAAAAGTGACCCCATTGCTTAGTTTCGAAGCGCTCCTTTTGCGTTTAAACCCTACGAAAGTGTCTTGAGGAAGATTTTGAAGATGTCTCTTAGTGATACACTCTTCATAAGGTTTCTGAAAACTAACAGCCCACGATCGGTTTCGCTCATTAGGTGGGCTTAGTCTGTGGGTCTGCAGTAAACACATTTTTTGCACAAATTCAGCGAAACACACTCACAAACGTCATAAATGAAAGATTCACTTAGGTTTCCGATATACATGTCATCAAAATAGAATTGGTGTACAGATGATTGTATTTCGTTGATATAACCAACTTTAATCAGTTCAGCTTAAGCTTATTTGATTGACTGCGTCAATGGTTCAGTATGCAGCCACTGTATTGGTTAAAACGTTCAAAATAACGGCGTCGGTATTCTTCTGTGAAAATTAACACTGAACTGCCTTCAGTCCTCCTGTATTGCTACAATTTCGACACCAGAAAGTTTTTGTGGATATCCCACTAACTGAGCACAGATAAGATGAGATGGTCGGGGCCGACAAAAACGGTCTCCAGTGGACATCACAAATCCACAAAGAATCCCATTAAATTTGGCTTGGTGCCAAGTAGACGGGTTCTTATTCTCTTGAGGAAATGTATGTACGTTTATATCCCGGATATCGTTGAGCCGCGCAAGGTGGAACATTCGATGTGCTAGCTTAAGTCAGAATGCAGGCGATCAAATCATATATATGACATTTCTACTTAGGGGGGGCTAAACCAGACTGAACACATCTACTGAAACAAGCCAATACCTAGACACCCTAGTGGTTCTGATCCAACTTTTCAAACTTTAGAGTAAAGTAACATTCTAGAAGTAAAATCAAGTGTTTTGAATAAGTTCAGAAATCACTACAAAAGACAGAATATGATGGGCATCTATTCTTCTCGGAATGTGTGGCACACGGTGATATAGCTCTTCTCTCCAGTGTCATGTCCAAAGATTAAACGGCTTCGGATAAAACAATTTTCATATAGTGGTCACTCTTGTATAAATCTCATTTTGTTAGGTTGTTACATGCGTCGCTTACGAAAAAATCATGTTTTTGCCGTTCCGAACAAACGATGCATGCCCGTGTGCCATTTACTTGACTACATAGGTAAACAGTGTAGGGAGGCTTGATGCAGACGTTTTGCCTTCGGGTCTTTTCAAGACAGAAGGAATCCTTCAAATGTACTTAACTTGTAGGGTGAAAGTGTATAAAAAATCATCAAGATACCGTTTCTGCATCCAGTTGAGGTTTCTAGTGAAATATGGGAAACTTGGGAAGATGACTCGCCAGTCAGTTCTTGGTCAATAGCCTCCAAAATACAACTGCAATTCTGTGTTTCCAGAGGCGCAACCTTAGTGTCTGTGGCAAGTGCCCTGAAATGCGACGCCTATCGTTGACTGTGGAAATAATTTTCGCTGCCACAGATTTTCCACAGATTCAATTCTAGGACTTTACTGAACACTTCTCAAGTTAAGAGGAATTCACTTCTGATTAGTGGCTTCAGATGGTTGTATCCAGAGTCATATTCCGCCACCTCAGTAGGACTTACTGCATGAAACTTGGCTATTTTATAAATACTGTAAAATGGGTAAACATTTGAATATCAAAGCTGAATTTAACATGAACTTCCAAACAAAGACACTGTGTTATCTCTCCTTCAGTTATTGAATGCCATTGCAACATTTTTGCCCACTGTGGCTCCTGCGTGCAAGCTGGTGTACCTCTATGAAGGTTCCGTTTATGCCGTGGCCAACCTGGAATTTGAAAAAGACGCTCTACGAGCGGCAGGCATTTCTCCCGGAAGCGCATCATTTATTGAACAAATACGTACTGCTGTTGATGCCTATGTTGATCCGCAGCAAAATGCACAGTTTCAAGCTCCGGTTACCGTGCGAGGTGAGTCATTGTCCCCAGCACATACTGATGAGATGAAACTCATTTACAACATGCTGGCTGTTTGACACCTGTTCCTGAAATGTAGGGGATGTATCTTCATGCAAATACCTTAGATATCGCAGGCTTGTGCGAAAGGACGCTGTGATGCCAAAAGGTAGCTCTTGCTGAAAGCTCTTATGGTATATACCTTGTCACCTGTATCCGCGAAGTGAGCTGGAATGGCCTCATTGCTGAATTCTTGGCAGTGAAGTAAATGGTATCAGCATTTCTCCTACTTGCGGGTGGAAAACATTCTTGCCGAATATCTAATTCAACATGTGTTACAAACGCATCCCAATTAGCGAACGGTGTTCGATGTGTTCAACTTTGGCAGTTTATGCCTAATTATGGCAATAACCGAGTAGCGGATAACGTAGCAGAGTAATTAGGCGGTGAATCGCGTTGTATATGACCTTCAAGACGGTGTTTTCCCCGTAAATATCAACTCCGTTGAGTAAACTCTATCCTTTCTGCTTTGAGAATCGGAAAACTTCTAACACTGAATCATTCCGAGTAACCGTTCTTCGTAATCCAGCTAAGCAAAACTAATAAGCTACTTTTTCCAGATATTCAGTTAGGTTCTAATTTGTTTTTAACATCGAAAAACTGTAAAAGACGTAACGAGGAATATTTCAGGTTTGCTTTCGTCACGTCCTATATTGAATCACGCCATCTGGTAACCGGAAGTGTGGACAACCACCTGGTTGCACCCCCTCCAACAGGAGAAACCGAAAAGAGTTAATACCACCACCAGGGACATCTCTCAGAAGTAACTAAACACCTAAACAAAAGAACGACAACTTTCATTTCGACAGCTGATGCCCTGCCATCAAAGCCAGTATTTTTAACTTCGACTTTGTCCTGTAAGCAATGTCCAATCTGTGTTACAAAGCCTGGAAGCACATTACGGTTTTCTGATCCTTATTGGAAGTAATCAGCATAGCGCGCCTCACAAAGCTCCAAGGGATTTTGGACCCCAGACCACAAGGTTGGTAGTTTAAACACGAGCGGCTAACCAACCGTGACAAAGCTACACTTAGATGGGATATTTAACCACGGAACCTGCATCGCGTTGTCACCTGTTAAATGTTTCCTCAGGTGATGATTTCTGAGAAGGACATTTCACTCGTTTTGTGAAATAACTGTTCTTCTGAGCTGAGGTTGAGGGTATTTCGAGGAGATTTATTTAGGTCTCATGAAGATTTCTTCCTGTAATTCTGGTGTATTTACGCTGAAGAACCCAAAGCACTGTCCAGACGTTTAAGCTTTATGGGAACTCACCAGCAACGCGTATTATGTAAAATTCGGCGAGTCTAGAACTCCTGGCCTGTTGCTTTTTATTTCTGGTGGAGGTTATCTTAATGAGGCTACCACCGATTTATGTTTGAAATGGCGGGTCTCCCAGTACATCTTTAAAGATGTGACCGCCAAAAGCTTCTTTTTTTCGTTTAAAGTGCCACTGTCTTTAACAGGTGTCTGTGCATTCGCTCACATATGTCCCTTACCACGCTTCTTTACACCCAGCCAACGCACCGGCGAAACAGGCAGGTCTGGTACTCGCTCTGATGGCGCTGCTTACAGTCTTCATGATAGACATCCAATGATGGGGATGCAGCAAATGGTAAGCTCATATAATACATTGTGGGAAGTTTTACTTGCACATAATCAAACATCTAACGTATTCTCCGCAATTTGCAAATTTTTTCACATTCAAGGAGTCCTATAAATTATTCATTAGGATGTGATCAAGAGATGCTGGATGTTTTCTGCCATCAATGATGAAACTACATCCAAAACTACTGCGTAGTGTTCAAAGTGTCACCATGGTTTGTCATAATTTTCCAGGAAGCGTCTCAACATGGCTCATTCGAGCCTAAGAAATGCGTCCGCAAAGCGTCGTATCTCGATGCCATCTGGCTTAAGAAAACAATAAAAATGAGATCTTGAGTTCCATAAGCAGCGAAGTAAATTGTAACCTCCACACGCCTCATTTACTTGGAAGAGGTCAACTTAACAAGCACTAAGTACTTTACGCAGAAATTCCATGTATTCAGGGCTTCTCAACATCCCTTAAATGCTTTCACAATTGGTTGTGCGTGTGAAAGGAGTTTCCACCATTAGGCTCTAGATTATCCGTTGTCTGTGTGCTCATCCGATGTGTTGGTCTTCATTTTTACGCCAGATCGATGTGTTCCTTTATTTTGTCATTAAATATTTGTCTGTTGACTTTCATTGAAATGCATGACTGGGAACGAACCGCTGATGTGCACATTAGCGCTAAAGTAAACAGTGTACTACGGTATGCCGGTGCTTCATCCGAATGGATCTCTCTTCAAAAAAACGCGAGGAGACGAAGGGAAAATTTTATCGTCATATTTATCTTTGCTTTTGAGAAACAACGAACAGTTACGCCTCGTGGTTGGGTAGATACGGAGACGAGATTTGTGTTTGTAATTTTATCCCATGATCCAGTGGTTTTACACTGTCAGCGACATTATGTTGCTGAGTATATCCATTCACTACCTGCTACTGACCAACTATCAAGGTGATCCTTGTAGGGTGCTGGACTAATTTGTTTTTAGAGTCTCGAATCAAGTTATGCCAGGAAAATTAACGTCCAGGTGAATTTTCGGCATGGAACTATACCGTAGTATTAAAGCAAATGTTGTCCGTGTACCCTGAAATATCGTCCAGTGAACAATTTACACAAGCAAGCCTGCAGCACAGGGCAGTCGGATTAATCGCAGTAAAGCCAGCAAGGGATCACAATGGAAGTTCTAGATAGAGGGACGTCGAAGACAACAAGTAACCCATAGCAACAAAATAAGGTACCGTAAATTCAAGTGGAATATTGGGGATGAGGAGGCACCATCCCGACGAGCTAATGGCGTTATACGGTACAGTTTGCAGCCGCAGATTTGCTTCACTCACTAGGTCGCTCTGTTTGACCCTCGACGTTTTATATCCGAAGAGAAACTTGGGGATAGGCAAACCTATTCACCATGCACTGGAAAGGCAGGACACAACTTTGCATCTATGACATAAAACAGAAGCGGTCACATAAACCTGGAGAATAGTGTATATTTTGTTGATCCGACTTTGACTAGCTTGTTCAGGTTCTGCTTAACTCCTGTAGCCGCCGTGAATGCTAATAAAAGTATTGTCGTAGCAGAAAATAATAGGCGTACAGCATTAGTTTTCTTTATCCAGGGATGATGATGACGGAGTAATCTAGGTGCATAATGGCATCTACTGTGAAGCTACACTGCGGATTTATGGATATTCAACATGACAACCTTCATCCGTCGAAAAATTGCAGAACGAGGACACCATCGGCTGACCTAAACGCTGTCCCTGTTTTTTAACATCCATTTTACCTCAGCCAATCTATAAAAACAAGATAATTTCACCCACAAAAGCCATTAGTAAATACGGCCGACACGTGTTCGTTGATGGTGTCGGCGAACAACCAGTGAGCCAAATATGGATCAGGACTGCAGGCTTAGTTTGAATTTTCTTGGCGCTGGATTATCAACCTTGAGGGTCCGTTTAATGACGACAGAATTCATTCCTACATATTCTCGGTTGAATTTTTTGAGGCTAAGGACTCCACGAACCCAGTACAATACTTGGACTTAGTCCAATATCTCGACGTCAGTTCCTAGACTGTCGCATGCGTAGATTCGCTGGACTCCACACTATATGCTCATGTAAGCTCGCCGACCAATGTACAACTTCGTCCTATGCAAGTTCACCCGCGTTTCTTCAGTACCTGCCTAAGTGGTGAGAAACAGAGCTTGATGGTAGCCCCAACTGAACATAATTCGAAGCGAACGTAACGTCAGTCGGACGCCCTGAAAACTATTGACAGAACATAGAAAAGGCTGTTAAATGGGACATGCTCCTCAGAAGCATCATATTTTCCAGCAAACAATATTTTCCACCCAGCTTATATGAAGTTTTTTTCGGAGTGGTTTTATCATTCTTCCTAACGAGTACTTCGGTGAAGCTACTCTAAATGCGATGATCAGACGAGGCGGTGGGGATTTCAACTGTTTGCAGAACAGATATTGGCAGTAATTAAACTTACACGTTCCGGTCAACCCTTTAGTCTTGTGAGGGAAGACAGTATCAAGCCCGTTCAACCCACCCGCAAGTACATGGGAAAAGTTCAGGACAAACCAACGATAAAACAAGGAAATGGCGTTTTCAAATCTAGACATTTCCGCGCCTGGAGTGAAAGTTTGCGGATACTAAATCGGTGACCATTAAAACAGCAGGGTGAGAATTTCAGTGTTTTAGTTGAATCTTGCATCCGATAAAAGTTAAATGACTATGACATGTGCTATAAGGGTTGAAATGGCACTCGGAATGAAGTAAACAGTAGCCGTCTACCAGAAGGGCACATTCGTTCAGCTGAATGCCTGAGCCCTTAGAACTCCTCCATCTCTGCACCTTTTCGGAAGAGAAAATTGGAAAGAAGTACGAAATCTCCTGATGGCCAACACATAATGACATAACAGAGTAAACTGTTGCATTCCCCATAAAAGTTCACATCCGAGTAAAACCGTCTAACAAGAGCGAATTTCAATATACATTTCCAAATATTAAATGAAAAAATGGCGGATTTTTTCTGCAGATGCTAATAAAAGGTGTGAGTTCATGCGTAGTTGATTTTCTGGGCAGGTATGATAACTACGAACTTAATATAATAACATATCTTCAGAGTGTAATTTCAGCTAATCTTTCGTTCAACACAACTGCAAAAAATTAAAGGTCAGCTGATTTGATAGCCTGTCCAACGCTTGAGGTTAGCACTCTTTTTAATTTGAGATATCAGACTGATATGTGGTTCACATTTTACCAGTGTTCATCATGTCTCACTTGAATCCACCAAAAGTTTGGTAATGTTGAGAATGTACGGAAGCCAAGAAAAGCGGTACACAGCAGCTATAAAGCAAGCGGAAGAGTTATTAATTCATATAGTCTCCAAACGGAATGCGGTTATCTTTCAAGCAATTTTTGCGTGGAGCTCTAAACGGGAGGACATGTTAGTGCTATAGTTGTGACGTAATTAAGTTGATTCTCAGAAGGTAACAACCGCTAACAAATGTCTGTCCCACTAGAATGTAATGCATGCAATAGTTAGGCGCACATGACAAAAATAGATACAGTGCGAAATGTGGAACAAGGCAAAAAGTGACTTATCGTTTGAGGACACTTGTTGAGAGTTACTGAGTGAAGTTCCGGGGACGCGGGACGTGTCTTCTCTGCCGTACAGCTGCTACACATGCTCCGTAATTGTCCGGGGAGAATTGCTGAGCTTTGATGACTTCCTGTCCTGTGTGCGCGAGCGTGTTTTGAGCCTAGTTTTACGCCTATTTGTTGTGTGCAGTGTGAACAGAGGGGTGACCCTTCGTGTTTGATGCTTGCAGTAACATGAATACAAATTGACCTAATGTGTTGAATTTCATAAGCCTGGCGCGTTACGCAAAAGGTAGCCGCGTAGAAAAGAATGGTTGAGAAGTTTTAGTATACATGTTGTCGGCTAAGGTTGCAAGTGGGACAGGAATGGTCACCTGGTTTGAGTGTTTGTGACGCGTGATCTAGTGAGCGACCTCTACAAACACTGCGGATGTTTGTTTGAACCACAAGTATTCCGGCTGAAAACTCGCAACATCGACCTATCACATGAGACTCAGATTAGTGAACAAGATGCTCCAGGATGTTCGTATTACTATTTTATGCCTGGAGATGAAGCAGTAGAGGAAGAATTGATTTTCGATCATATGTCTTTAAAAGAATTTACACGTACCTTGTCCTACAATGTCAGAATTGCTGATGATGACTTCCTGTCCTGTGTGCGCGAGCGTGTTTTGAGCCTAGTTTTACGCCTATTTGTTGTGTGCAGTGTGAACAGAGGGGTGACCCTTCGTGTTTGATGCTTGCAGTAACATGAATACAAATTGACCTAATGTGTTGAATTTCATAAGCCTGGCGCGTTACGCAAAAGGTAGCCGCGTAGAAAAGAATGGTTGAGAAGTTTTAGTATACATGTTGTCGGCTAAGGTTGCAAGTGGGACAGGAATGGTCACCTGGTTTGAGTGTTTGTGACGCGTGATCTAGTGAGCGACCTCTACAAACACTGCGGATGTTTGTTTGAACCACAAGTATTCCGGCTGAAAACTCGCAACATCGACCTATCACATGAGACTCAGATTAGTGAACAAGATGCTCCAGGATGTTCGTATTACTATTTTATGCCTGGAGATGAAGCAGTAGAGGAAGAATTGATTTTCGATCATATGTCTTTAAAAGAATTTACACGTACCTTGTCCTACAATGTCCTAAATCTTAGCCCGCTTTGTATTTTCTACACTATCAAACTTTACTCTCATTATCACTTTCAGGACCCGTTTGCAGAAAAACTATTGAATAATCCACCAGAAATTCCCATATATCGCGTGACGTTTTTGGTAACCTGTGTTATGAACTGCACCTTCTTATTGTCCCTGCTTCGGTAGACTTTTTGAACCCTTAAATATACGCATACACCGGGTGTTTGAATAGTACAAATTCAATTGTTGGGTAAATCGCACACGCTACTTGAGCTTCAGCTAA